GGTCGTCGGTAATCCCTGGATAGCTCCTACCTGTCCGCGGCAGCTGTTCTCTAATTGAATTATCTAGTTTCCAATTCGACGCGGAGATTTCGGCCGAAAGACCCGACGAAAAGTCATGATGACTAAATATTGAAAAACATGCCAGAGTATTGTCGGCGCTGGCCCCCGGCTCCTTTCATCCCGGAGGCGGAGCTGTCAATTTGTGAGACCTTTTGTTTGCGGTGGCAGACCTTCATGCTAGATCCAGATGCTCCTAGCGAAAGTAGCGACGTCGAGGATCGAAGATCCACCGTGCACCGGGGACGGTGTTAGCGGTGCCATTCAGCTGCGATAATTCAGCGTGGAGAACGGGACGATGGATGGCTGTATTCCTTGTTTATTCTTCGCCGGCAACCGCCGGTGCACCGAAATACAACGCAGGAATGTCGCGAAACAACGCAGTAATGTCGCGAAACAACTATCGATCCGATGGATTCATATCGGTCCGTTCGATCGATCCCCTTTTCACTCGGATGTCTCGTGATCCTACGTTTGATGGTCTCAACGCGTTGATCCAACGGAAATGTATTCATTCTACGTATTTACCGCGTCAAGGAAAAATCGAGAGGCACGCGTAAACGACGAAGGTACGCGGAGGAGGTTGTCCGTAAAAGTCGGAAGAAGGCAGCGGGTGGTCCGAGACTAGGGTTGTAAATTACTGATGTTCATTGCGTCACGGTTAAACGTCCAGAGAAGCGACGCAGGAAACTGGCAATCCCTTCGAACCGTTCGGGAACAATGGAACGCTAGATCAATAGTCATCTCGTAAACGACAAAGTCACATTTTTTCGAGTCGCATGCCTCTACCCTCTGTCCCGGGACGAACTGCTGCAGATGGAAAGAGATTTCGAGCGATGCCCGTGACGGCACCGATAATGCCGTGTCGTAAAACACTAATGCCCTATCATGACGACACTTTCCGCTCGGGATCTTCATCCCAGGAATCGTTGCCGTCGACACGGTCCCAGTTACGCTAACCCCGTTTCAACTCGGATGTCTCTTGCGAGGGAGTCAGGCAGTCTTTGTTACATGGGATCCCTTGAATAATATTCTCTTCGCGTATCGCGAGAAATCAAATCGACACACGGTATCTATCGATGCGAGGATACGAACAAATTTGTCGAATTTTGTCGTTTTCAAGAAATTTCTCTTGAACAAAACTTGAAAGCCCTACGAAATCCGGAAAATTAACAGGCCAACTTTTTCGTCCATTGAAAATGGATTATCCCGCAAGGTTCGCAACGTAGCGTTCCCCGTTTGTGTTCGACCGAACAAAATTGTTCTGTGTTTCGAGGGAAGAAAGTTCGAAAGGAAAATATGATATTTTTAGAGGAAGCTACTTCTTTTCGTTGGTAGTCTCGAGGAGGAGTGGATGTGAACCGAATTCTTTTCCTTGAAAGATTTTCTCGGTGTCGGTAAAGGAGACTGCCATAAGTTTCGGCTCGGATGGAGGGCTCCGTCGGCTCTCTCTGTAGTTCGATCGTGGGCGGAGCGTCGCGGCGCGCGGCGTCGTGTGTGAAGGAGAAATTGTCAATGGACGGTATTGTTCGCACGGCCGCGTTGGTGCGTGGCGGCGAATAATAAATGGCCGAACTGCCATGTTCCAGAGCCGTAAAAATGCATGACATTAGGCAACACCCTCTTTTCTTCGTCGATACCGTTAATACGCTCGATCTTTGCACCCTCGTGCCAATCCCGATATACACCTAGCCGCCGACACCTCTATATCTGCCGATCAAAATTCTATTCATCGGATTCGGTTGTCTCGTAACAGAATTCAATCCACCGAGAATATCGTTGGAACTTTACCGAGTCCAGGAAATTGAGAAAAACGTTCGACGAAGCTGAAGGCACGGAAGAGGAAATCGACAGAGTATAAGAATGAACCGTTTGATTTTATCTAATTTTATTTCATTTTATTTTTCAGTAGCTTGCAGTACTACTTAAATAATGATCCGCGGTGGTGTCGGGGGATGAAAGCTTCGTAGAACATACGAACAACCCTTGCACCTCGCTCGTGCTAAGGACAATGGCGCCATATTGTGAAAATATTGATTACGATTCGCCAACAATGGAGACAATGCCGTCGACTTCGCTGCCGTAGCGACACTTGAAAAAAAGAGCTTCTCGAGTACGTCTTGTATGCCTCACGGCGCGGCGTCGTGTTCCGCTCAAGTTGAATCGCTCCTGCCCTCGATATACGTATGTATACGTACTCCTTCTAAAGTGCATATTCGGAAATAAAATTTAAATGATTATTTATGTTTAAAGAATCAACACTTATTCAAGCTGACAATTCTTCGTACACGATACGGAATTATTACGTCATTATTACTCTTCCTTTATTCTTTCCTTTATTCGTTTTCCTCTACGTTCGAAACTCGTCGGCAAACGTGAGAAAATGTACAAAGTCTATCATAAATGCACTAGTTTGGTCCCGAGTTTGTGCATTAATGGCGATTTTCTTCGTCCTCTTCCTTTATTCGTTGATCCTTCTCTACGTTTGGAGCTCGTTGGCAAACATAAGAAAATATACAAACTCTACGATAAACGCACTAGTTCAATTCCGAGTTTGTGCATTACTGGCTACTTTGGTTTTTCTCTACCCTCTTCCTTTATTCGCTGTCCTTCCGTACGTTCGAAGCTCGTCGGCAAACGTAAGAAAATATACAAACTCTACGATAAGCGCACTAGTTCGGTCCCGAATTTGTGCACTAATGGTGACCTTCTTCGTCCTCTTCCTTTATTCGTTGATCCTTCTCTACGTTTGGAGCTCGTCGGCAAACGTAAGAAAATATACAAACTCTACGATAAGCGCACTAGTTCGGTCCCGAATTTGTGCACTAATGGTGACCTTCTTCGTCCTTTTCCTCGATCTGCTGCCCTTCTCTACGATTCGAATATTGGAGAATAATGTACAAAGTCTACCATAAACGCACCAGTTCACTCCAGAGTTTGTCCATTAACGGCGACTTTGGTTCCTCTCCGTTCCTCTTCCTTCATTCGCTGTCCTTCTCCATGTTCGGAACTCGTCGACTGACATAAAAAAATGTACAAAGTCTACCATAAACGCACTAGTTCACTTCCGAGTTTGTGCATTAATGGCTACTTTGGTTTCTCTCTATCCTCTTTGTTTATTCGATGTCCTTCTGTACGGTCGGAACTCGTTGGCAAACATAAGAAAATATACAAACTCTACGATAAACACACTAGTTTGTGCATTAATGGCGATTTTCTTCGCCCTTTTCCTTTATTCGTTGATCCTTCTCTACGTTCGAAGCTCGTCAGCGGACATTGGAGAAGAATGTACAAAGTCTACCATAAACGCACTAGTTCAGTTCCGAGTTTGTGCATTAACGGTGACCTTCTTCGTCCTTTTCCTCGATCCGCTGCCCTTCTCTACGTTCGAAACTCGTCGGCAAACTAAAAAAAATGTACAAAGTCTACCATGAACGCACTAGTTCAGTTCCAAGTTTGTGCATTAATGGTGACCTTCTTCGTCCTTTTCCTCGATCCGCTGCCCTTCTCTACGATTCCAAACTCGTCGGCGAATATTGGAGAATAATGTACAAACTCTACGATAAACGCACTAGTTTAATTCCGAGTATGTGCAATAATGGCTACTTTGGTTTCTCTCTACCCTCTTCCTTTATCCGCTGTCCTTTCCTACGTTCGAAGCTCGTCGGCGAACATTGGAGAATAATGTACAAAGTCTACCATAAACGCACTAGTTCAGACGCCAGTTTGTATAACAATGAAGACGTTACTGTAAACGTTAGAAAAAGCACGACATCGATTATAGCAAGTGCGTGGGATGCAGCTACGACAGCATTTAAATATTTTTCACCTTCCAAAGATCGAACAGATAGATGGGCGTCTCACTTCGTGCTCGCCAATAAGCTGTCGAGGTACTCGAAGAATCGTTCATGCGGTTGTAGGTACGTGTCTAACTTAAATTTGCTGACTTGCCTCGGGGCATCCTTGAACGGTAGAAAAGGGGAATGCAAGGAACGGGAATCGAGAAATAACTCGGAAAAATTCTTGATGATCGAACGGAAAACAATCTAAACCTTAAATAGAAGATTGCTCTCGTAGAAGATTGCTCTTATAGACGATTGATCCGTTTCTGGAAAATAATGTCTACGCGAAACGAACGCAAACTTCCCAACAACCGAGTCTGACGATCGCGCACCATCGAAGAATAAAGGATGATCAAGAATAAACGAGAAAAGGCGTGTGCGTGATTTTTTTTTTACGCCAATTCTCTGGAATCAACGAGCCATTACGAAAACGGTCGGCCTTCTCTCCTCCCCAATGCTAACAACAAAACGCCTCTCCTGGGCTAACGAAATGCTTCCGAATGAAGGGAATTTCGAATTTCGTGTATGCGAAACGCACGGACATGCGTATGCCGCGTGCATGTACGCGCACACGCTCTCAACCGTGAGCAAAAGGAAAACGAATGCACGCACTCGCTCGAGAGACTAAATTGATCGAACCCGTTTTGTTTGTGGTCACTCTTAAAACTCGAGTGACAAAGAATCATGCTCCCCTTGCGCCGATATGTTCGTCTCGAGCGTTTTTCTCTCTGCCCGCTGGCTGTTTCCTCTTTGTTAACTTAGAGACCCACTTTCTCGCATTTCGAAAACGCCAGCCTATTGTTTTGCCTCTTGCTGTAGCAGCCCGATTGTTTTCTCTCCGATGAAACTTTACACATCTCTCTCTCTCTCTCTCTCTCTCTCTCTCTCTCTCTCTCTCTCTCTCTCTCTCTCTCTCT